ATATATATATATATATATATATATAATATGTATAATTGCATCCTAGAATTTTTTCCTCAAGGAGAAAAGATTATTTGCAAGTTCTATTTCAAATTTCAATAAGTTTAAACATAATTTCTATTTCTAAAATCGTACCTGGAAATAGAATAAATACATTTTTACATAGTGTAGTGTAGTCTAAATAAGAACGTATTTGTAACGTTACAATGTCAAAAATTAGCAAAATGAGTACTATAGACAAATAAGAAGGAGAGAGAGAACTATTGTAAACGATATTCCAAATGAATCCTTCACTAACTTTGTTCTGAAAACTCCTAATTATGTATTGTAAAAAATTAATTTCTCTGTGAAATATTACATAGAAAAAAAAAAGCTACAGTACTCTTTATACAACTGCATAGTTACAAACCTTTCTGAAGTGTAATTGCCCTTGATTCTCTTCCCATTCCATGTTGGTAACCAAGATTAAGTCCACCTGAGGAATGCCCTACAGTACAATGTTAATAAAAAAAAAAAAGTAGAGATATCTTATTAAGGTTAAACAAAATGTCCAAACGTTAATTTAAACTAAACATAAGTGATAGAGCTTTCTGTTCTATAAATCATATTAAATGAATGAGAATTTAATAAGACACAATAGTGAAGTTTAAGTAAAACAAAACAACATGCTACAACAAACCTGAATAAACCATCATGAAACCCAATTAAACTATACTAATGAAATGATAAACATCACCATATAACCAGATAAACCATGCTAAAGAAATGACTGACACTGCCAACAAACCTAAATAAACCACACTAATGAAATGATAAACATCACCATATAACCAGATTAAACCATGCTAAAGAAATGACTGACACTGCCAACAAACTTAAATAAACCACACTAATGAAATGATAAGCATAAAATCATACATTATTATACCATTTAATAAAATAAAAAAATTAATTCAACAAATATGATTATATAACATTATAAAATGATGAACAGATTGGTTTAATTCTTTGACAGATTGTTTAGGCAGACTATTCATGAGGAAACTTAGTTGAATGGAGGCAATTGCCTGTTATAGAAACATGAGTGTAGAGGATGATGTTTCGAAAATCTTTCGAAATGTCGTTCTCTACACTTGTGTATCTACACCAGGCAGTTGCCATCCATTCAACTAAGTTTCAAGATTGATTTAAATCAAGCAGTAAAATGACATACTGCAACAACAATTCTGGTTGAACCATGTAGTGAAATGCTGAACTACATCAACATATTTGAATAAATCATGTTGTAAGATTAGAAACTACATTAACATATAAGATGAAACCATGTAATGAAACGATAAACTATACAAACATGATGACCTCAATGATATTAATCAATTGATAAGCTACATCAAAATATCACAATAAATGCTTCAAAACAAGTATATCAACAAATCTTGACTAAATTATGTATCTGATTTAAACCATACTAGTGAAATGATAAAATAAATTAACATAAATAATTAAAGTGAGTAAATAAACAAGCTATGCTAATTAGATCTGGGCAATTACCTCAATTAATTGGTACCTATGAGCATCAAATTTGTCGATTAGTGTCACATAAAATAATCAACTGACCAGAACTGGCATTTCCAATTATTACTGTTTTTGATTATTCCAACTATTCAATCGTTGAAATATTAACATGACGATTTTATATTATTCTTTATGATTAATTCAAGCTTGTTCAGGTTAACCAATAATGTCACTAGACTAATAAAAATAATCAACTAACCAAAATGAAGGTTTCCAATTATTAAAACTTCCAATTATCCCAAGTAACCAAGCAATCAAAACAATGTCATTGTGGGCTATCTACTCTGCCTACTGCAGGTATCAAAAACAATTTTTTGAGTTTATGTCTTTTGTATATTTTTTAGGCATCTCATCAGAATAATCGATTAGATGAACATAACTTATTAATGAGCCAACAATTAATTGATTATGTTACTGAAAGATTAACTACATTAAGGGTTCATGTAAATGAAATGATAGGTTACATCTGACAAAATCATGCAAAGGAAAGAATAGGTTGATTATAAGAAAACAGGGAAACAACAGTACACAATACTACACTATTTGTAGTAGGGATTCTCTAATGACTTGAAGCACAGTAAATTAGTTAAAACTGAATAGGTAAAATTTAATAAATATAATACCTTCTGATGAAACAAGCTGACCAATAGCCCTTGATGCTCCATGAGTACCTTCTTCAAATTGAACTTCAGCAACAATTATGTTATCCTCAAGCACCGAGCCACAATTTGTACAAACAGCATCTCCTCGTGCTGGATCAGTGTCAATCTCACTACAACCACAATGCTGGCAAGTTCCACCTGACATTGTCAAGTTATCAGAACTCTGAAAACAACAACATAAGACATAAATACAAGTTCACTTACAGGCTCACTGCATACATAAGGGTTATCTGTGTTGTTCAATTTGCATAAAATCAGAACATATTTATACAAATCAGAAAGTTTATACAAGCCAGACAGATTGTTGTGTTTGTATTCATGTACACTGTGACTTACAAATCAAAATGTAATTTTTCTTCTTGACTTATCTATCAAATTCTTTTTATTACTTTTATTATATAATTCTAAGTAAGCTTTTATTTTGTTTTTTGAGAAACATATTTGAATATTTCTCAGTATTCTTAGGCAAAAGAGCCCCAAATGTCACCAGGATTTTATTATGACCAAGTGACCACCCACACAGAAGTGATCAGAGAGCCAAGAAGTGTTGTGTGATTAAGGCTCAATTAGACCATACACTATGTATCTCACCTCGACTTAACTAGACACATAGAGATGAGAGTGACAAACCATTTCCAATGCAGGAGAGCTCATTAGCTGTTTGAAGAGTGACCTGTACTACACAGAAAATAACATCACCCTCACCCACTTCCCACCATATTATGCTGTACACATTCAGTGAGGAAGTTTCCAAGGTCTACCACCCTAGCGAGTAGGAACTGCTGAGTGGCAAGGGTCTCCCATACTCTACTTGAAAGGGGGGTGGAGATCCAGAGAAGTGCCCGAGTCTCCAACACTTGCTTGCCAGAAAGGTCTTTTCACTGGAGACAGTGCAATGGATAACCACAAAACCTTATTTTTAAAAGCCAGTAAGCACAGGCCAAAGAAGTGGGCAATCACTTCCCTGGTACCAGCTTTTTCCATGGAAAGGTACAGTCTGGATTGGGCAATTGGGTAATTCTAATACCACAAGGATACCTCTAGTGGTCTTGCAGAACACTCAATCTCAACAGTGGCCAGGACTGATGGATTGAGCACTTTCCATTACCCCTGGGCAAATGTAGGTTTTGGAAAACATGCAACATATCCTGAGAGGCAACACCAGCCATAAAAATTCTATAAAAGAGGAAAGGGTGAAGAAAAAGAAAATCTAGTTATCCTTCTCAAAGATGTTATGTAGTTTTATTGAAGAACAGCAACTGGAGGGAGTCAAAATTCTGCAAGAAATGAAACAGCCAGATGATGAAGATAATGGATGATGAACATGTGCAGGTTCATCCACATGCCAGCCTGAAGAATCTTGTCCATGGTTCTGTGAAAATGAAAAAGCATCAATGACATATATATCTTAATGATAGCAACCACAGGCAAAAAGAAGAAAACATGTCTTCAGAGAAAGACGTTATAATGAACATGAAGCCAACAGCTCAAACAGAACATGTAAAACCATGTCAAAGTCCCAGTCAGGCAATATGAATATGACGAGAGGGTCAATGAAGAAGAAAGGATCGGAACAAAGTAGAGAAGAAAAACCTGACAGTGATGGGAATAGCAAAATGTAGTTGATCAAGCTGACTGAGAACCAGCAATAGTAGAAACCAACAATCCATGGTTGAACAACCATGTGAAAAAGGCCAAAAAGTGGGCTACTGTAAGATGGTATGAAGGAAGGGAGGAACTGATGGACCAATATTAATAAAATTCAATACTTCTGTTGATAAACAGACTGAGCTGAAGGACAACAAGAATGGGATAAGAAAAGGGCCACATGATCAGAGAATCCAGCCCTGCAAGCAAAGAAATGGTCAAATCCAACACATAAAGATGAAGAGACAACACCTCTGGGTGAAAGAGGCATGTGGTTAAAGCAATTCAGGATGAGAATGAGGCAGAGGAAAAATGCACCTGGATGCCAATTGATGAAGCAGAAGTCAGGATTGTGCTAGCCAAATAGGTGCCACCAACAGGACCCGACAAGGAGTGTCGCATATCAAAATGATGACACAAGGGAGAAGAGGAATAGGAGAATAAACATACAGAAAAAGGTGAGACCAGTCCTGACTGAAAGCACCAACCACCAGGGCTGAAGGTTGAGAAATTGGGAACCCAAAGAGAAGTTTGGTGTTGAGAGTGGCAAAGGCATTGATGAGAGGCATGCCCAATGAGGACAAACGCAATAAAAAATCTGAGGGTGGAGAGATCACTCCATGGTTAAAACACTGTCCAGCCATGAGAGGTGATCCACCACCAAATTCAGAGCCCCTGGCACATTACAAGCCATGAGAATGAATCCGATGGAAATAAGCCCAAGATAGCAGGTCCAATACATGGAAGAAGAGTCCTGAAATGAGTATCCCTCTGACAGTTGATATAAGTAATGACTGAGGAATTGTCAAAATGGATCATGACCAGCCGATCCATATGAAGGAGGAAATAAGAAAATGCCTTACAGATGGTGAGAACTTCAAGCACATTGATCTGCATTGAACACTTCTCTGAATCCCACATGCCTAAAGTCCTGCAGTCATTCAGAGACACTTCCCTAGCCCAACATAGAAGCACCTGTGAAGAGATGGAGATTCAGTAAGAGGCAGCAAGAGGATGCCCAACATGATGTTGGCATTGTCATGCCACCAAGACAAACCCTTGAGATAAGGAGAAGGGAGGTGCACATTCCAGGAAAAAGGATCCTGAGAAAGGTTCCACAACTTCCTCTGGAAGAGGAACGTGTGTGTGGCCTAAATGGTTCAAGGAAAGCCAGAATTCCTAAAAGCAAAGGAACCTCACGTACAGGATGTAAAAAAGAAGCACAAACTTTGGTGATAAGACATTCCATTGCTCATAAGTGAATTGGAGAAGGCTGAGCCCAACTGAGGCAAGAGATGATGAACACACCCAGATGTACCAACTATAGGGTGGGGGTGATAAAAGACTTGGAATGCATGAAAAGTTAGCCAAGCTGAGCAGCTTCCTGCAGAAGAATGCTGGTGTGAGAAAAGAAGTCTTAAGTAATAATGGAACCTCAGCCCAAATCCATGAACAAGGTGGGCAAATGCTCTCATGACGTGATTAAAGAGATAAGGAGCAGAAAGAATGCCAAAAGGAAAATCATAGTACTGGAAGACCTGATTCCAATGGATGAAACAAAGAAAATGCTGGAGGACAAGGCAATCAGAAAATATAAAAAGGTGTCCGAAAAACCCTAGTCATCCACAGTCCGAGTGACAAGAACCACTGGACAGAAAAGAATCCCTCCATATGGAACTGAAGGTTGATAGGAAACCAGCTGAGAGATGACAGGTCGATAACCAGACACCAGTTTCCAGTCTTCTTGGGGACCACAAAAAGATGAAAGTAATAACTAGCTGTAGGATAAACACCCTCTTGATGACATTCTTGGCCAAGTGATCTTAGACCATATCCTTAAGACAAAGAAGATCAAAGGAAATGAAAAGGGTGAAGAGATAGGTAGTGGGTGAGAACTTGAATAGCCCATCTATTGAATCAAAATGGAGACCAAAGGCTGGCAAAGAGAGAGACAAATGGGACCCCATAGGACCAGGACTAACAAAGTGGTCACTGACAAGTCAAGCGATGATCCTGTCATCATGAAGTGGGAGAACTGGAAGCAGAAGAAAGCCAGGAAGCTGGAATGGGAGACATGAATTCAGCAAGCGTAAGAACAGGAACAGAAAGATGAGGTTGAGAAAATCAAGAAACAATAGCAGACATTGAGGAATGATACCAGATGCCTTAGTCCGGGAGTGAGTCAGGAATACCTTTGAAGACTTCTGGGTGAAGAAATGGAGCCCAACAAAGAACATAGAAAGAAGGAGGAGGAGCATTGGCCAATGTGGTGAAAAAAAAAGAGAACAAATACCTTCAGAAAACTATCCCCCAGAGCACCATGAAGTTTCTGAAACATCAAGTGAAGTGAAGAGAGAATGCAGGAGGGTGGTAAGAAAGAGACAAATTCTCAATAATTAAGCATTATAAAGGGAAATAGATATTAAGGAGTCCACACACTCCCAGGAAGGTAAAAAGAGATTCCAAAGACTGTGAATTGAGGAATGGAAAGGTATAACAGCTGTAATCTAGAACAAAAGAGTCGAGTATACAAAAAATACTGTCAGGTGAAGGAGTAGTCTTGAGTAAGAGTTTCATATAGTAAAGCATTGGGAGGGGGGATCAAAAGACAAAAAGGAAAAGGAACATGCCTGCAAAATCAGGTGAAGGAAATGATTAGAAAGATGTAGATTTTCCTCAACAGATAAAGCTATGCCTGGAGCAACCCCTCAGAGGGGGGAGGGGAGATAGCTGGTCAAATCATCATCATCCTGATCATGTTGTAACTGGGAAAAAGGAACATTATCCTGATAGACAGGAGAAAGGGGCCCAGTATGCATCAGGGAACCCACAACATGTTGAACAGTGGCTGCCATATCCTCCACAGACAACAAACCCTCAGAAACCCCAATATACACAGATCCTGTGTCAGGAATGTCATCACTATCACAAAATTACATGAGATTTGTGATAGTTTAAGAAACTTACTTTTTTTTTAAGAATTTCATCTGATTCTTTCATTACTAAAGGAAAAAAAAATTCCCCTGCTTACCCATTATAAGTTCTCAGGTGATGGTAACTTATGTTTAAATGCTGACATCATGTGACAACAGCCCTCTACTAATAGGAGGGCAGCACAATTTCCTTGCACAGTACCCCCCCCCTAATTACTTGTACTCAAAACATGTTCATTCTTTTCCTTGGCATTGTCTAGAATGGATGTGTTTTATAAATTATTGATCAAGCACTAGTGCAGTTCATGTTAAACACATGATTTTTAGGTGGGAGTTAGCTCAAGCCTAGTAGCATGCAATTCCCATAGGCAGATGCATGATGGTTCGAACTATTCTATGCATGAAGAAGAGATATCATCTCAGAAGTTTTTTCTTTTCTCTTAGTTTAAAAGTATTTTCACTGAAGACTGGCATACTTCATGATTCTGGCCTTTTTTTCTGTGGTTTGTGTTATTTGTTGTTTTTTGCATTATAAAATAGATGTATCCCTGAGAAACTGTTCCCAAAGCTTTCTACAGTTGGT